AGGCAACCCCCCCGAAAAAATTATGCCAGATAACCCCCGAAATAGCAACGGTCCATGCAAACCCCCGAACTGCATTATGCCAGTTAACCCCCCAAATAGCATCGGTCCATGCAAACCCACCGAACCACATTGCGCCAGTTAACCCCCCAGATAGCATCGGTCCATACCAACCCACCGAACCACATTATGTCAGGTCACCCCCCAATTAGCATAGGTCCAGGCAAACCCCCCGAAACAAGTTATGCCAGGCAACCCCCCAAATAGCTTCGGTCCATGCAAACCCCCGAACTGCATTATGCCAGTTAACCCCCCAATTAGCATAGGTCCAGGCAACCCCCCCGAAACAAATTATGCCAGATAACCCCCCAAATAGCATCGGTCCATGCAAACCCCCGAACCGCATTGCGCCAGGTACCCCCGTGCAGATTACACAGAAGGTGATGGCGACGGCAAAACGTCGACGGTAAGAAGAAGGTGGTGACGGTGAAGATTCGACGGGATGAAGGTGATGGCGACGGCAAAACATCGACGGTAAGAAGAAGATGGTGACGGTGAAGATTCGACGTGGAGAAGGTGATGGTGACGGCAAAACGTCGACGGCAAGAAGAAGGTGGTGACGGTGAAGATTCGACGGGATGAAGGTGATGGTGACGGCAAAACGTCGACGGTAAGAAGGTGGTGGTGACGGTGAAGAATCGACGTGGAGAAGGTGATGGCGACGGCAAAACGTCGACGGTAAGAAGAAGGTGGTGACGGTGAAGATTCGACGTGGAGAAGGTGATGGTGACGGCAAAACGTCGACGGCAAGAAGAAGGTGGTGACGGTGAAGATTCGACGGGATGAAGGTGATGGCGACGGCAAAACATCGACGGTAAGAAGAAGATGGTGACGGTGAAGATTCGACGTGGAGAAGGTGATGGTGACGGCAAAACGTCGACGGCAAGAAGAAGGTGGTGACGGTGAAGATTCGACGGGATGAAGGTGATGGTGACGGCAAAACGTCGACGGTAAGAAGGTGGTGGTGACGGTGAAGAATCGACGTGGAGAAGGTGATGGCGACGGCAAAACGTCGACGGTAAGAAGAAGGTGGTGACGGTGAAGATTCGACGTGGAGAAGGTGATGGTGACGGCAAAACGTCGACGGCAAGAA